GTACATTAATTTGTGTGTTACCACATAAATTTTAGAAGTCCAGCGCTTTGACACTTGCGATAGTGAACGCGGAGATCGCGAAAAAGAAGCCTGCGACAGCGAATGCGCCCTGTATGTCATGTTTTACCACTGACCAAACAAGCCCGAAGATGATGCTTGCCAGAGTACCAAGCAGGGCTAGGCCGAAGAGTTTTAGCTCGTCAACACCGGTAACGACGTCAAGCCCCCAGCCGATACTGTAAGTGTCAGTGTCTTATTACCGCTGGAGAGAATGATCACACTTACCTACTACCGCGGACTGGGCAAGGTTCGAGTTTGTCATTCTTGCGTTTCGGGATGCTTGGAAGCAGAACTGCGGATGAGGGGCTCTCTTCCGGATGCAGAAAGAAGTGCATCAGCAGATTCGGACCGATTGGAGGAATGCTATCCGCTGGCATTGGTGAGTATTCGTACTCATGGTTCTGATTTTCCGGTGGTATATCGTCGATCTCGTGAATATCTACCAGCCGGTGATGGTATAGGCGGAACTTGCACATACTATTAGCCAAGTCTACACGACGCTCTGAGTGCATGAGAAGAGCTTGCCTTCACAAATCGCAAGGCTGTTGGTTTCTTGAACGACAACAACCTCTTGTATTGCTCCTTGGACTGTCCATAGCGCTGCTTCAGAGCTCTGAAGAGATCGACATCTGTTTTGAACCCGCATGACTGCAGCGCAGACATACGTGTAGCGTAGCGACTCCAAGGAATACACCAGTGAATGAAGTGGTGTTCATGCTGATTTGTTTGTTTCTGCATATCACATGGCTTTATGCTCGAATGATTGCCTTTTTGATTGACGGGTTGGTGTTGTGGAAGCTGTGCATTTGGTGCGGTCCATGAAGCGAACGTAGGTAGTAAGCCCCGAAAGGAGAACGATGTCTTGCTTCGCTGCGATTGCTGCGACGCTGCTTGCTGATAGATCTGCCGAACGGATAGCAGCCTTAGCTGTCGTAAAACATTGATGACAGCTCCTTGAGGAAACTCTCTATAGTCGTCGGTGATGATCTCTCCGCAAGACTATCGAGGTTCAGTCTCGCGAAAGCATATAAGTTCTAGAGCAGGAAAGGCTTACGCATGCAAATCTAATTTTCGTGATATGCGGTCTAGAGTGGACCTCGTCATCCACTTTGTCTAGTCTAGAAGACAGAACATAGCTGGGCTCGCATTTAGTCTTATATGTATTGGGGGCAAATGATATTGCCAGTCGCAAGAACGCTCTGCTCGAGCATACGAAGGTCTCGAAAGACGCGACTTCACACTGCTTTTCTGTCATATCCTCCTGAGAAGTCATGGATGATGCACAGCTGCGACTGGCATGTACGAGCGGGTAAAAATGCCAAACTGGCACTTGTTGTGACCATGCTGCATTGATTTCGGTTGAAAGTTTCGATAGCCTGTCCCGAGTGCTCTTGATCCCGGCACGACCTGAAGCAGAGAGCATGTGAATCTCCGCTTCTTTCGCCAGATCGGCAAGGAAAGTCTCCAAGAAGTATTTCGTACGTCCTTCAACATCGTTGGAAGGAGACTTCAAACCCAATTTGGGCGGGTGTATACTTCTTATGACGATGTCGGCTATCTCGTCCTCGTAGTTGCGCGTATGCCTTGCGAAATTCCTCACATTTTCTATCAGCGCCTGATAGGCGGTTGCACCGAAAAGGAACTCCCGGATCTTGGAAAATGCCGGCATGAGGATAGGGTCTGGATCGTTTGAATCGATCGGCTGGAGTCGCTGCAACGACTCGAAAGCGTTCTCTTCGTCGGCTAGATACGCCCCACGAGCGATGATCTTTCCAACGTTGAAGTGTTCGTATATCTTAGACGAAAGATAACGTAAGCGACGTCGCAAGAATGCGCAAGTATGATGTTGCAGGGTGGAGTCAGCTTCGGCGCGCAAATCTCTCTCGAACGAACCTAGGAAGAAATGGACATCATCCACCTTCATCTCAACTGTATCCGTTGTCTGAGAGCGAACCAATTTCTGCCAACTTAGTTGAGGGTCTTCCAGCAGCACCTCAAGAACCTCTGCAACAGTATCTTGCCCCTCCGATGCGATGAAGGAAGTAGATCTGCTTAGCGCAATCGAGGTCGAACAGACGCTTTCGCCGTCATCCGAGCTATCGTCTGATTTTGTGACATTGTCAACGATATTGGCAAACCAAGCACGGTGTTTGAGTTCGTAACGTTCTGACCTCGGAATATGATTTCCTCCATGTGATGAGCATGCATATCCTACCAAGACTGTCTTCTCTTGAACCGCGTGACCTCGCTTGCCAAGCGCTGCACAGGGGTCTATCGTATGCTTGTAGTAGAGGCAGCGACAGACCGAATATCGTTCAACGGCCTGATAACACATTTGAAGTCGTGCATGGAAAGGCGTTTAACGTAGTGTGGTTTTGTAAGGCAGCCTGGCTGCGGGGTAAGTTGAAGTGTAAGCAACAGCCTGCCTGCCATGCCTGCCCAATGAGATTGGTTGCTTCCTGGGTATCTTTGGCTTTAACCGAATGCGTCACACAATGCCTGCACCGCCAATATTTCAAAACTATAGCTTCGCGAGTAGATATGTTCGTACTCCACATGTTTCCATATTGATCCTGATCAGATGCTGACCGTTCCGTGATTATAAGATCTACTTCCATGTGTATACGCGCAGAAAGTCACAATACCGCTATCCGCGCTCATAGTACGACTGGCCGTGAATGACAGAGGAGACCATGGCTCAGCAGATTTTACGTGTACTCCAAAGTGTATCATGCTTAAATCTCACACCAGATATGTATGGTGATTCAAGTGTCTCTTGCGTCACTCGTGAGTCTTCGTTGAGTCACTGTTGTGTCGACCTGATTTACTCTACTTGTTGACACAATACTTGAAGGCGGTCATACTATTCCATGACTTGAGTAACTTGAGTAATGACGATTCACATGAAGCTTATTTAAACATGCCGCGAGACAACCTACCCTCTCTATCGTTACCCAGTATATTGTCTTCCTGATAAACTTGCCAAAAAGACATCCTTTGATGCACGGGCTCTCTCTCAATCAGATATGAGCTTTTCCGCAACCCAAAAACACAGAACAGCGAAAGCTTGGAGCCGTTCCGAAGGTAAAGACCTTCGCATTGAGAGAGTTGAAGACGTGCCCAGCGACAAAAGAAAAGGGTTTAAAGTAAAGAGTCTCGAACCAAGCCGATCTACACTAGGCAGGCTGGTACCTGTCGCCCCGCCGCTTCCAAATGCAGTACCCACACGAAACGCGAGTTTAGCAAGCGCGGCACCAAGTTATATCCAAGAGAGGCACTATTCACGACCCCTACCTGGGGACGTGACTTACAGTACGTATCCTGTGAGCGCCGTCAGCAACACTCAAAGCAATGCAATAGCCAACGCAAATCCTGAAACTTCGTCGCGAGTCCCACGTATAGCTCATAGTACTCATAATGCCCACGCTGCGAGCGTAGTCAGCGAGACGAAGAGTCATACGAGTACCGTGAGTGAAACGCAACATAGCGCACCTGGATATCACCACGCACACCCTCCACAAACTGTTCCGATACCGTCACAGGGTACAAACAACCCCCACGCTTCAAGCACTGTAAGGATCAATCCGAGTACGCCCCTCAAGAATCCTCTGCTTTTGCCCGCGCCGAGAGAAAGATCTCGCGCACCGACTGAAGTAAGCGTCACTCCGAGCACGGCATCAGGAAAATACCTGGCTTTGCCGGCGTCAGGGGATAGCTCTCGTGCCTCGAGTAAAATATCCGCTGTTCAAAGTCGGGTCCCTGAAAGTCACCCACCTTTGACTGAGTCAAGAGTGCAAAACTATCGCGCCCCAAGCGTTATCAGCGTGGCTACAAGTGCGGTATCCGTGCAGCACCCGCCTTCGTCTGTCTCGGTAGTTCCAAGCGAGATTCAAAATCCTCAGCCTTCTCGTTCTAAGAGTGTTGCTAGTGCCGCCCGAAGTGCGGTGAAAGAGGACCGTCTTCTGCTGCCGGCATCTGTATCTAGAAGTCCGAGTGTCGCAACTAGTGACGTTAGCCTTATCAAAGAGTCATCAAGATACCTGCAAGAGAGCCGCTCGCGTGATCCTTCTCAAGCCTCATCTTCGCGAGCCCTGGCTTTACGAACTCCATCTTCGCAACCCCCAGCATCGCGGGCCGCTAGTGTGACATTAACTATTCGAAGCGAACATTCTGTCAGCAGTTCCAGTGCCGTTCAGCGCCGCGCTTACGTAGAGTATGCCGATTCTGAGGTCTGCAGTGGTTCAAGCGTAGCGGAAAGCAATGCGAAGAGCCGCAGACCAAGCGTCATCCAGCACACTGAAGAATATACTGCCCCAGTGCCTGGACGAGCCCCAAGTATCGCTGCAAGCCCTAGGAGCAGTGTCAAATCTAGTCGCAACGAGCGAGATATCAGCGTCGCTTCGACAGCCAGAAGTCATGCGCGCGAGGAAGAATACGAGCCGAGAATCCAAAGCAAGTCGACCTCGAAGCGAGCCTCAAGTATCAAACCTGATCGGAGTGAGCGAGGCGGGAGCATCGCGTCAAAAGCCAGGAGTTATATCGAATTGGATGACCATGAGTCCAGTGGCGAACGCGAGCCAACGTCTAGACAAGCGTTGAGTACAGCAAGCAGTTCTAAAAGTAGACGAAAAGCTTCTCGTGATGACCGTGGTCGCAGTACTACATCTCGAACTAAGGGTTCGTACGATGAGTTAGCGGAAGTGAGAGTAACTTACGAGGGACACAAAGACGACAGAACCAGAAGTCGATCTCGTTCCGAACGTACTAATTCTGCTTCAACGCGTCGCAGTAGCTCGGTATCAAGCACCGATACCATCCGAGCACTGCGACCAGGCAAAGATAATGCGATGGTACGGTACCACGACAATGCCATTCACACTGCCAAAGCTTCGAAAGATGTTACGCATCGTCGGTCATCCAGGCGTAAGAAGAGTCCCACAATGAGCGTCGTTTCGGTTTCAACTGCCGCTGGATTGCCTGTAATGCGCCCAGACCCATCGGATAGCGAAGCAGAACAGGCATCTGGGAAGAAAGGTCAGCGGTCGCATCATAATAGACAGCAGCAGCAGCAGCACCAGCCTTATCGCCAACCGCCATATCCGCAGCCATATCCACCGCAGTATACACCGCACTATGCGCAGCCTTACCCCCAGCACCAGCAGTATGTTCAACCACAACCGCAACCGCAGACTGCTCACGGTTTTTACGGCTACCCAAACGTATACCCGCAATATACAAACCAGCCGTACCCAAACCCACAATATACGTATCCTCAGCCCCCTGCTCAACCATACTATCCAACCGGGAATCCATCGCAGTACGTGGCACCTGCGCATCAATACCCAACGGCGTATGAGCAATTGGGCGAAGAGCTTGAGCAAGGTCGGAAAAGCGGTCGTTTGCCCAAGGCTCGGGATGAGCGACATGAGAAAGTGAAGCGGCCTAGCAGGAGAACTCACCAGGAAGAAGAGTATGAAGAGTCGCCGCTTGTATACGAAAGGCAGAAGGTCTACGACAAGTACCCTCCGAATTGGTTCCGCGATGAGATTTGACAGTATCGGAGGTGGAATGGTTTCTGGTTGGGGGTGACGTCTGAAGGTTGGCGCGGCATGACGCAGTTTCGTAGAACGAAAGTTGGGGATGAGAAACGGGTGCTATATCGCTCGGAGATGTAGAAGGTAAAGATGATACAGAAGTCGTAGAAGGCTGGACTTCTTGATGTGTACGTTACACAAGACTGAGGTATGAGTCACTTGATGTTAGTCATGTAGTTCTTCCCGTTTAATGTAGGATGATTATTCTCTTGCCATCATGCGATAGTTGCTTCCTCGAGTATTCTGTCCTTGGGGATTGTTAGATTGTATCGTAGTGCTGTGGAATGCATACTAACCTGCTCATCGTCTCCGCTTTGACTGACGTCGATAGATATGTGACCCAGCGTTGCAGTGAAAGGGACAGACTAATGGATGACTTGAAACCTGTCAATTCTAGAGCTGCTGGCTTGAATACCCTATGTGCGAACCTAGCGTGGGCTTTCTGACTGTGAACCTTACGAAGAACGCATGTCGCATGGTCTGCCGATACTGTCAATGACATACGAATCAAAATCCAGCTTTTTGAATGGACGATGTCACATACAGTCCGCGAGGAGAGCAGTATTTGTCCACCCGTACCTATAAATGCCTCTCCCGCATGCCTCACTCTTTCTTTATAACAACTCATAAAGCCTCAACTTCGATACCCAGCATTCATCGAAACCTTTCGCATCATTTATCACACCTGAATCAACCTAATCATCACGCAACTCACCGACCATCCAACCAATACACATCTCCAGGCAACATAAAAAGATGGTCTTCCCACCGTCGGTGGCAAAGGCAGTGCTTGGCGTAGTCTCAGTCAGAAAAGCCCCGAACGGAGAATCACAAACTGTTCTTCGGAAGACGAAGGTAGCGGAGGGAGGCTCGTCTCCTCAAGCCAAGAAGAAGATCGATGAGAACCAGCACAACAAGAGAGAAGCCGAAAAGAAACAGAGACTCAAAGAAAACTATGCCAAGGCAAAACTCAAGTACGAACGCAATATAAACAAGGATGGCTTGACGTATCTTGCGTTTAGAACCGGGGGGGAGAAGCCGGATTTTTCCAAGGGCGAGAGGCCGGCTGTAAGGCGCTGACCAGACGGAGACAGGCGTGGAGAAGAGGTTCGAGTGCCGGCACTCTTTCTTCCTTGATGTTTCGATGGACGATCATACGTTTGAATTCTTGTTTGCGGAATATGGTTCAAGTTCGGAGGCGTTTGGCGTACGGTGGATCGCGCTGGTGTTCATTATATCAAGGGTATCGTCGGTGGTTAGAATGTCACGAAGGACTGTGATTGTGAGTAGTTAATTTGAAGATTACTGCATATTCACCGTTTGGGTCGTGGTCCATATAGTGCCACTGCGCTTCGCCGGGCCAAAGTACTCCTTTTCCACTCGTCGACGATCCTAAACAGCAGCTCTTTCTCCCGACGTCAGCTTCGACATCCCACAAGTGCGTCTTCTGTACATCATCGAATTCCTGTGTCCATAGTGTCAACAGCATGGGCTTCTTCAAACGACTCTTCGGGGGAAGTAGGACGCCGCCTCCCATTCACTTCGGTAAGGTTTCCAGGATAGCCTACTAGTTCACTGCTAAATACGCAGGTTCATATTCTGCATACGGTGGATACGGTGGATACCCTGCCTATGGAGGGTATCCTACATATGGTGGATATCCTGGATACGAAGAACCAAGACGCCGAAGGAACGCGTACGATGACAGTTACGATAGCGACGAGAGCTATGATGGTTATCGATATGGAGCTGCTCGACGACGATACCGCAACGGGTCAGGAAGACGTGGTAAGTGGCATTCCGTGAAATGTTTCCGCATCCAGTATTGGATCAGTACTTCCTCTTCCATGCTCTCAGCAGTCACTATCCCTCAGTATAAGATCGTCATGGTTGTTTCTTTCTTCCTATACCCAACGTATTCTCACCAAGCATCATGGAACGAACGAAGAAGTATTGGGTACGCAAGCATGTCCCATCAATCTGGGAAGACTGGAGCAACAGTCGGCGAGCTCATCAAATAGACCAGAGAGCCAAACACCCCAGGCCGCGCGAAGAGATGATAGGAATGCCAAATCGTACAACCTGTCATGTAGTAAGCAGAACCGATAGGAAAGAGCTGACCATGAGACAGACAACCTGACCGGCGGTCCGCCAGGCTTCGTACCCGTTGGCAATAACAACAGGAGCAACAATGCTAACGCCCCTGCACCGCAGCGTGCTCCTAACGCACCGAACCAAGCACCACCAGCTCGGGGTCCGGGTGTTCAGGGCCAAGGCCATGGCAATCCTCAACCGCCGCCGCCGCCGCCGCCGCCACAGCAGCAGCAGCAGCAACAGCAACAGCAACCCGACTTCCACCAGATGCCCGCTATGAACAACGCCCGGGGCCCACAACCCGGAGAGGCGGATCCTCATCTGCAGCCAGGAGGGCAGACTGAATTCGGTGAGCGGCCACTAGGGCAGGGCCGAAGCGAGGATGCTGACGCTGAACCCGCTGCTCCTGATGGCGGGCGGGGCGGAGGTGCGCCTGACGATAGACCGCCTCAGCACCCGTGGATGCCAGAGACGCGGTTCTATAATCAGCAGCAGACGCGAAGGAGAAGATGATGATGATGACGACGCAAGGCGAAATGACGATGGAATGGAGAGGATGGGTGATGAAAGAGGAAGGCGCGCTGAGCACTCAAGCTGGTATAATTAGCTGTCTTTGTAGTATGCATCTCGATATGCCTTCTTCGAAACGACTGCAATGCATCATGAAGAAGTACCCGACAGCCCGCGTGGTGTGATGACAGTGACAACCTTGAGAGTCGAGTGGAGAGCGAGAGTGAAAGAAGGTTGGTGCGGCGGCCACATGGGGAAGGTCTGGCCGTGGGCTTATCGATTAGGCCGCGCCCATCTCCAAAATTTCCACCAGCGGTCCGACACCAACAACACCGGCAACACCGCCAAACAACGCCCACGATGCCGAAACGAAAGCGCGAGACGACTGCCGTCTCCGGCAACCTTCCTCCTCCCGTCATAATGAACCCCGCGAAACAAGCCAAGTACTGCCAGAAGCGCCTCGAAGATGCGCAAAAACCGCTGCTCCAAGCTCTGCGCCATGCTTCACAGCTCGAGCGCCAGAAGTACAGTCGCAGAAAGAAGTATGCTACCAAGAAGGGACAAAAAGAAGCAGTGTTTCGATTGAACGCCGAGTACAATGTCCTCAAGGCGCTCAATTTGGAGCAGCTGGGCGACCAGCATTTGCGCAAAACTTTGTCACGGGTCAAAAGCTTGAAGGATGCGGAACCACTACAGGAATACATCTCCGGCATCAGAGAAGGCAGCAAGGATACTAGCACACTAAATGTCACCGCGAGAATGTTCAAAGTCGTACAGGTGAAGAAGGCCGTGGATCAGGTTATCGAGGACCTGAAGGGCATACTTGGGGTGGACAAAGCCAAGGACAACGAAAAGGTGGAGGAGATCGTTAAGGAATACACCACAGAGGAGATGAAGAAGCACAAGGAAGAAAAGATGGCGAGGAAGGCGCAGAGGACGAAGGCTGCTGACAAGGACGACGTCGAGATGAAAGACGCGGGCGATGAGGCGGACGACCCGTACATGGCCTTCAGCGCGCGGATAGCTGAGCCGTCCTCGGGAGAAGAAGACAACGAGGGCTCGGTATCCGGCGATGAGCGACCGCCGAGTATCGCAGACAGCGAGAGCGAACACGACCCTGACGCCGATCTGGAAGCTGCAAGCGACAGCGAGGACGAAGCGGAAGAAGTCGCGCAACCCGACGACACCAGTGACGACGAAGAAGACAGCGATACTGTAGCTGTCTCGCGATCAGTAGCCCCTGCCTCCGACGAGTCCGCCGACTCAGATTCAGACTCTTCGTCCTCCGAAGCCGCCATACCCACAAAGAAGACCAAAACCAAAGCCGCCCTCGAAAAGCCCACCTCCTCCGCCTTCCTCCCCGCCCTCAGCCACGCCGCCTACTTCTCCGGCTCAGAATCCGAAGCCTCCGACCTAGACGCCGACAACGCACCCCGCAAGAACCGTCGCGGCCAACGCGCGCGCCAAAAGATCGCCGAAGCGAAATTCGGCGCCAAAGCCAAACATCTCGAGAAACAACAACAGAATGTGAAATTCGACCCCAAACGAGGTGCCGTTGCCGGTGACGACAAGCGACAAAGACGGGGCAAGCCGCTGGGTGGTCGCGGTGTGCAGCAGAGTGGAAGTAATGCGGAGCCGTTGGGCAAGAAGGATGATAAGAAGGATAGGAAGATGGGGCTGGGTGTTAAGAGGGATGATAAGGGTGAGTTGCATCCTAGTTGGCAGGCGGCGAAGTTGGCGAAGGAAAGCAAGAAGTTGAAGATTGATCTTGGGGGTAAGGGGCCTGCGGCTGGGAAGAAGGTGGTTTTTGATTAGGTTAGATACCCCAGAAAAGTTTGCGCGAGTGGGCTGTTGATGAGAAGGTTGTTTTGTGCATGATATATTGTAGGGGTCGTTGAGATCTTGCTCTTGTGCAATGGATGTTTAGCAGAGGTATCATTCAGCTTCGGTATAGAGATGTCAAGACAAACAATGAAGAGAAGGACGAGAAGCCGATTCATCACGCATTACGCGACATGAACTAGCTCTGCTACGATATACGTCATCCTAAGCTATACCATCGTTGCCAACCCTCAATCCTAAGACCAATCATCGAACCCTTCATGCCAACGGTATGCTCATCGATACACAAACGCAAAGGACGACCGGAGACTACGCTTCCGCATCACCGACACAACTGCGGGCAGTAGTCCTGACAAGTACCGCGATACCTTCCATGTCGCCCGTCTTCAACCAGATACCTCCTCATCCTGTTGAGGCATTCGTGGCGGCAGTAGCCTGTTCTGCAGCGATGGTTCTGCGGCACTGTTAGTTACTGCGAGGAGCAAAGGGCGCTGGGGACTGGGGACTGGTGGGTTTGACCCACTCTAAAGCAATCATCGCGCATCCTCTTACATTTGGTGCAGGGGAGGTCGGTTTTGTTGGCGAGGTCCTGGGGTTTGTTAGTATACACGGGTTAGAATAGGAGGGGATGAATGAGGGACTTACGGCGTCGATGTCGTCTTCGTCGTTGTCTTCTTCGTTGGTGTCTTCCTCGTCGGTCTCGTCGCGAGACAAAACAGTCTGAGCGACACATTGGGGCGCAGCTCCGCCGATACAGGTCTCAGTCGCTTCACAGACCTTGGTATTCACCCACTTGCGGCCATAGCAGCGTTGGATAATGTGCCGCTTGATCGGATCGAGGTATGCGCACTGCTGAGTGCCTTCAAGACAGACCTGTTGTCTAGATGATATCCCGCTGGTGGCGACAACAGGTGTCTCGTCCTTGTCAGCGATCTCACCGTTGATGGTCGCAAGGGCACAGTGAGGTGAAGGGTCAGAAATACAGATGACCCCGACGTTGCAGATCTCGACGTCGACCCAGTTGTGGTTGATGCATCGCTTGACTGAGTGGCGGCCGAGGAGGATGATTGGGAGGATGGTGCACTTCTCGTCGCCGTTGTGGCAGTCTCCGGCGACTGCAGATCCGGTGAGATCGTCGGAGAGGCCAGTGATAGCGACGCTGAAGGCGATCTTGACGAGGCCCATGAGGGCAAGGAGGAAGATCGCGAGGAGCTTCATGATGAGCTTGAAGTGCTTTGGGAACTTGAAAGCGATCGAGAAAGTGGTTTAAGGGATGCGCGGAATAGGTTGTTGAGGACAAGATATTCGAGAGAGGCTGCGATATAACAAGCTACTGCTATAGGTATAAGAAGAATCTGCGGTAAAGTAGGCCGACCAAAGTCGAGGTGAAGGCGACGAAACACGTCAGAGGGTCGCGCGCTTTTCTCCAAAACTTGCTCATGGGTGCTGGCCCGTCTTGAGTCTGTCATTGTGGAAAAGGGTACTGAGAAATGCTTAGCAAGGCCCGCCCTTGGTGGCTCTGGAATGCCGCGTGATATTGATGCATTCCACGCTCGCGCTGACTTTGGACAGTAATACGATGAAGCATTTCTGAAGGTTGCAATGTCGCTTTTCAAACCATTGTCCAGGTCCTATGTGCGTACGACCAGCGCGTCGAGTTGTTTTGAGGTTGTTTGTTGTCGCTTTGGGATAATGGCGTGGTCGAAAGCGCGTGGTCACGTGGCCACGATGTGGCGTGTCGATCGGCTACACCGCAATTGGCTACGGCCCTCTTTTCCATCTCATGCTGTGTTGGCACCCCGCTCAAGGGTTAAACTGAACATCGGCTTAAAGCAGTCAACGTACGAATCTACATCACTCGTGAATTTTTCGAAATTACATTCTAACACTAACGTCGACTGGGTTAGACCAGACCGATTTTTCTGTTTAAGGTGCTCGCAACTGCCCGCACCACATCCATCGAAGACATGTCGCAACCTCCGGTATGGAGACGCGGTTATCCCACGGGAGTTGGAGAGCTCGCAGGGCTTGTGGGGGTTGCTCGAGAGCGAGAGTGGCCATTGGCTAGGGTCGACGGATGCCGCAACGGGCATGACTTCGTGAAAGAGCAACGTGGACGAGAAGATGTGCCCTTTCCATCCTCCATTCATCCTATTGGGCATGGCGATCCTTTCGTGAAGGTCGACTCGTTAGAGGTCTTGAGACGGGCGATTTCCAGCAACAATGAGGATGCTGCGACGTTGTACTTCCCGGGCCAGGTCCATGTCACAGAGTCAGTCTTCTAGCCTGTAGCGCTACCAGCGCTGCAAACATTCCAATAAGCTGACGAGGTGCCTGCTACAGCCAAATGATTAAGGTTATCACCGACGCTCCATTGGAGTTCCGAGAAAAGGTCTGCAATATCTATTGCGGCGATCCATCGCGCAACAAGGCGCTAGAAATCACAGACGAAACTGTTGTTGCCATGATCGAAGCGTTGCCGAACCTAGAACACGTGCGCATAGATGGTGCACCCAAACTTACCGACCGCACGCTTTCAGCATTGCTGCGTTGCGATAAAATACGGGCGATAACTCTAACCACAACCCGCGATCAGCCAAACACGTTGAAGAAAGAGACGCTGGAGGATAGTCCATGGCCACCAGAGCTGTTGTTTTTCGAGCTTAGCGGCCAGCAGCTGCCCGGGGATATTATCGACTACTTCGAGTATTGGAGTAGCGAGAAGAGAAGTGCAATGCTTGGAGCGAGCCTAGAGATTGTCTACAACTTCGGACCATACTACATTTTCTGGCGTGACGGGTTCCCACGGTGGATTCAGGACTACGATTTCCAAGAATGGGGGGCATGGGATCCTGATTTCGACTAGTTGTGATAGCTCCGCGCGTATAGGACGGTCGTATCCGGCCGCAATTAACATCAACTCGAGGGGATTTTGATTATGCGTAGCTGGCTTTCGTGAGATTGTTTCCAGGACGCAGGCCATCTGACCATGGCCGCGCCGAGACATGGCATGCTAAGCCCACTAAGTGAATCGATCCAGAATTAATCTAGAATTAATCTAGGATTAATTAAGAACTAATTCTAACTCTAATAGCTATAACTTCTTTATTTTAGAAGATATAAAATAAATTTTAATTATAAAAGTCTAGATCTCTAGTAGATTTATAACTTTATAATAGAAAGTTATTTTATATCTTTTAAAATAAAGAAGTTATAGCTATTAGAGTTAGAATTAGTTCTTAATTAATTCTAGAAGAGTTCTTCTAAATAAGCGAGAGGTGGCATCTTAGCTCTACGCGCTAGCATGCTACCTACTTAGTTAGGTTAGACTATGCTATGTCTTGGCACGCCCTTGGTCAGATGGACTGTATGCACGATTGTTTCCTACCATACCCCTCAACGTCATCTCGGCCGGGTGGCGCAGTACAACGCGTCTGTGTCAATAACAGCCCCTGAACTGCGCCTCAAAATTATCGCTCAAGTGGGGCTGTCAGAGCCTAGCTCATCCGGAAGGGAGCATCCGCGTGCCAAGTAAAGCTTAAAGAAGCTTGACATCCTCCGCATAGATGGTGAACGCCTCATCCAAATCGCTGCATTTGTTGGAGTTTGACATGCCAGCGGTTGAATGAGGTCGAATAGAAGCAAACGTGATTGCAGTAGCCTCTCGCTGCATGCCATCGTGGCTGCTTTTTGCCGAATCCGGACAGCGGCACCGCCTCACCGCCTCACCGCCTCACCGCCTCACCGAGATTGCGCCACGTTTCAAAGGTCCGGCCGTTCGCATTTGTTACGCATCGTGGGCCATCTCGAACAGATCTAGCTGCAGATGTAGTGGACCGATTGATGCGTAAGAGGGGCATAAGTAGATCATTGAATAAATACCTCACCCCACCTGCATCCACATTGACAGTCCTCATACAACTTCCACTAACTTCTCAGCCTACCCAACACCCACAGCATACTCATCATGGGTTTCCTCAGCGAATTGATCTCCGACTTCACCAGCTCTGGTTCAAAGGACCAACAGCAACAGCAACAGTCAGGATATGGGCAATACCCACCCCAACAACAACAGCAGGGCTACTCACAGTACCCTCCCCCACAGCACTCTCAGCAACCACCACCAGTCTCGCCGCCATGGTATGCTGAGTGGGATCAACGCGAGAACCGTTGGATCTTCGTGAACCAGCAGAACGGCGAGCGAACTTTCCAGTACCCCGGACCCGGCTACGCGCAACAACAGGGCAACTACGGCGCTCCACCACCACAAGGTGGTTATGGTTACGGTCAGGATGGCTACAGCAACCAGGGTGCATACCAGCAGAGCGCATACGACCCGACTCGTAGTGGCCAACAACAGGAAGAGAAGAGCGGTGGTAATGGCTGGAAGTACGCCGCAGCCGGTGTCGCAGGTGTCGCAGGCGGTGCACTGCTGATGCATGAGAGCGACAAGATCGGTACGTGCCCCTCCACTCACCCAGCCTACCTACATGGTCTCTAACACCCCATCGCAGAAGACGGCTGGGACAGCGCCAAAGCCAACGTATCTAACGGCGTCGACGAATTCGGCAACGACGTCAGCAACTTCCCCGAAAACGCCGCAGGCTGGACCGGCGAGCAAGTCGGGCGCGCCGAGAACTTTGGCGATGACGTCGAGCAGAAGTGGGATAACGGCGTCCAGGATGTGGAAGATTTCCCAGAGAACGCAGCGGAGTGGACGGGTGAGAAAGTGCAGGAAGTCGAGGATATACCGCAGGATATTGAGAATAAGTGGGATAACATGACGGAGGGTGTGGAGCAGTTTGGTGATAATATGGAGAATGCGTATGATGAGGGGAGGGACGAGCAGAGGTATGATGATGAGTATTGAGGTTGATGAGGAATGGAGAGAATGATATGAAAGGAATGCAAGGCTGAACAATGGAACGTGCTATGTTGATCAACAAATTGGACTGTGTTAGTTGCAATGTGCATTATTGCAAGGCCATCTCCAAGGCAGAATTCTTCAACGCGACACGTAAACTGTACGAAGTAAAGGCGATCGTAGAGCCGAGTACGAGGGCAAGGAAAAGAACAGATCAGTCCTTTGTTGTCGAAGTAACCGTACGTGGCGTTGGTAGCGAACTCGGGTCCAGGATCCATTGGCGAAACAACACCACAACCCGGCGTAGTCGCTATGACGACGTCAGGATCTGCCTAGACTCCGCTCCAATACACTGCAGCACCAAGTGTATCCGCGCGAATGATGTCTGCGCATTCTTCTTTCATCGCACGCGCTGCACGGGCTTGGCGGTCGGGTTGCGGTCGTAGAAATCGGACGCGGGATGCCTGACGGAGGCGCAGTCGTGCGTTTTGGCATTTCTTACTCCGGTCCCGTTCCAGCATGCGGGTGGAAGAACGTGGTGCAATGCTACCCCGCGTAGCTTTGTCGTGGTTTTATATAGTAGTCATGGGCTGCCAGCCTTGTGCTTCATATCGCACTCGTACTTCCATCCCGACCTCTACCCTTTCCAGGTCATCTGTCACATCTCAATCCCAACGCTACAGTATACGATACAGCCATGAGTTCATCGATCCTCCCCAAGGCCTTGCAAGCCACCTCCCTCCTGGCGTCGACAACCCTGGTTGCTCTTTCGATTGCAACGGTCGCCCTCGTCACACACTACAGCGAGTCGATGGATGCAAGCTATCCAGAAGGCAGTTACACATATTACGGACCCGTCGGCTCACCCGCACGCAGGGCGTACTGGGAGGAGTACGACGCCGGAAACAGAGACTTCAACAAAGTATACATGCAATATGTGGCGAGCAACGACATCTGGGTCTTGGTGAGCGGTTGTGTTGGGTTGGTTGCCGGAGTCGTGGGATGGCTGACAGTGGCGTTCATGATGATGAAGGAGAAGGTATGCCGGATTCTCTCCAACCTCTAGAGGCCCTGCTGACAACTGCTCCAGAACCCCAAGACCGCAGGCTCCCGCTTCCCATGGGCACTAGCCTGCTCGATCTTCTTCGGTCTCGCCGCCTTCGCCATGTCACTGACCTCCACAATCATGACCTTCGAGACCAAGAAACGGCTGGAACGCGAGGCATGCGTACCTAGTGCTGCCTACTCATACTACAACCCGTCTTTCGACTGCACGCGCGAACTAGCTGCTTGCAGTATATTCGAGATGCTTTCCAGTGGGTATGATGATCACAGCCAACAGATGTGCGGTGAAGCGCAAGCGAGCAGGAGGATGTTGATTCCCACTTTGGTCTGCGCGGTGGTGCTTGTTAGCACGTGGATTGCGCAGGCTGTTGTAAGCAAGAAGGGAGCTGATGCTGAGGCCGACAGGAGGGTACAGGACTTGCAGGAGCAGGAACAGACAGAGTAAGCGGCTGGAAATAGTGTATGAGCGTATGGGATATGGTATCAGGAGAAAGGTGCAAGGTTCTGCGCATTTGAGAGTCATCCGTGGCCTGCTAACTGCAAAAGAGGGTCGGAGGTGCCCGACGCCTAGTATATAGATTATGACGAGATCGTGACAATGAATCGTTTAAGCGTCTCTAAACATGATCCGAAGAGCCAACAATATATAGCCTGATAATGACGTTTGACCTTTGTGGTTTCGTAATAGTCTAAGCGCCTCGATGACCTTTTTCCACGCTGATGTGTGTCGTGCAAATGATGTAATGGCTGTCGTTACTCTTTCTCAATTGTATGTCTTCCAGGATTGCCTTGTCGCTCTCGTGGTCCCCTGGAATCGTAGTCATGGAGTGCCGTCTTGTGCTTCGGCCCGTAATGCCTTTGGTTGTAGCTCTGGGGTCGAGATGACTATGGTACGTTGGCAGATGAAAGCTCTGGAATCTAGTTGAGGCCGATTTGTCGTTCGATGACTTGGGGAGAACGTGAATGAGAAGGCTGTCGAAAGATTTGCGCAGCGGTGGTAGGTTGGCAACCACGATGCCCACGGAAACTTCCGTCATCGACCAAATGGAGAGTGTAACCGACTCGTAGTAAGCCTCTTTCATACCCTGAAGCCGCTGGAAATCCCAAAGCTTCATGACGGATATGGCTGTACACCTGTTGCTCGTTAGTCTTTGCTCTTGGCTATCATGGGGTCGAGGGAATTACACTAAAGACATAAGAAAGACAGCCCGCACACTCCACTGAGTACGGCTACTGAGCCGGACAGACCGGAGATATGCGATCGGTGCTGTCGCATACACCAGATCCGTGATGATGTTGGAAATGGCTTGGGTATATGCAATACCTATCCGCACTACGGGCGACCAGCACTCTTTGTCGGTAATACGTATGTCCCATCTCGATGCGAGAGGTCGGCAGAGACCAAAGTGTTGTATCACGGGTAGTAGAAAATTGAAGATCGTAACGAAAACGATCGTCGCCTGTCGGAGCCGATTGATGTCAGCGTTTGAGTCATATCAAGTCTAGTCGTAGTGCACTCACCCATATGACCCAACGGTATCCCTTTGAGAAGTTGAGTGCCAGGAGGTATGTGCAAATGGAGAGCTTGACAATCCACATAGCATAAACATTGAGGAGCTGGCTCGCAAAGACGAGACGGTTCTGGTAGACCATCTTCTCCACTGTATTCGGCTGCCAAAAGGGATCGCTCAAAAGACGGCCCGCACCGTGAAAGCCAGAAACGATGGATACGGCCATCGCGGAGTTGTTCATTGCCTGTATGGATTGGTTAGGTACGCATGAACTTCGGTCAAAGCGGTATGCTCACTTACTACTCCTAGGATCATCAACCAGTCGCTTGCTCGCATCCACGGAGACGCTTTGAACCTGATGATGATTCGCCAACCAGCGAAAGCGGTGCTAAACAAAATCATGCAAATCGAAACAACGATGAGTTCGAGATGCATCGTGGGTATGTTTTTGTCGCCTGCCATCTTGGTGGCGTATTTTGCCCCCAGTGCGCAGCAGTGAGGTTAGAGAACGGAAGATGGAAGCCAACTCCGGGGACGTAACGGAACGAGAGGATCATTGCTATAAGGTCAAGAGTACGGACATGCACCTTTTCCTGCCTAGAAGGATGCCTTCCCCAGCTGTTCTTCCCGTGTATCCTCTGTCAGAGATTTATCCGTCGCATGTTGAGTACTAGTCCATTGAGGCACAGTATGTCGACAGACTCTCAGTGGTCGCAGGACATTCGCCAGGCACTACAGGGTAGCAGACATCTCGGGTGCTTTTACCGTTACTTGTGGGTAAGCCATGTCGATACGAAGACGCGCATAGCCCGCGTAGGCATGGGTCAGTATTCCTTCATACCTACTATTGGCTGGATACCAAAGCCTAGCGGCGTACCTGCTCATCCGAGGCTCATCGCATCCTTGAGTTCGGTACATGCCAAAACTCCGTAGGATTTTTGCTGCGACGAGGTAATTTGCTCAGAGCCTGGGCAGGTACCGTTGTCAATCGCTGTGTTGCCACCTACGTGAGTCCAAGGACGTGTGCGTTAGGAAGAGAGTAAGATCTCTAGAGTTCACCTGGGGGTTGATGATTGCGCTCGTTTCTTGGCCTTCGCTGTATCACTGCTGGAAATGACATCAATGGAGCCGCATCGAGGCGAGGAACACATCTGCCGGAAGATGGTGTTTTGGGTGAGGCGGCATGCGACCTCGGAACGGCTGTTTCCCGCGGAGGAAGACGCGCCGCCGCCGCTGCTTGGCGCCCCACACGCTACTCCTCGTGATTTGCTCGGCAGGCGCCAAAGTGGGGGTCCTCTGGAAACACGCATTGGAAGGATGCACGATCAACATTACAACGTCGAATTGAGGTCAACACCGAGATGAATACCATGCGAATGGATTTGCTGATACTGGCAACTTATTCCTCCAGAACGGCTCGGATGCAATACACCGCCATCCACGTGCGGACCGGGTTCAACGATGTTGAGAGCTCTAACCCTTGCCTTGGCTAAATCCGCTGGATTGATGGCAATGCTTGACGTTAAATTGTCTAGGTCCCATGACGAGAAGTAATCCAGTATCGCCTTTGTTGCCAAAGCCCAACGATCACGAAGATGCCGTCGTTCAAGTACAGCTCGCTCGTCAGCCTTCTCGGCTTTCTTTCTACAGCCACAGCAGCGGCGGTGAGCATTCGACAGACGTCCTCGGAGTCAGGGACCTACGATTACATCGTCGTAGGCGGAGGACTCAGCGGGCTAGTAGTTGCCAATCGCTTGACTGAAGATACAGGTGGTAAGCACAACGCCTCTCCCCAGTATGGTCTACATCACTGACAGCATCAAGTCTCTGTTCTGGTCATTGAGAATGGCGCCATCGATAACAGACCTACGACAAGCGTGCCTTACTTTGCCAACATCAACGCCGAGAACTATTATCCCATCACTTCTGCTCCAGAACCTTTCATGAAGAACAAGACTTGGATGGTGCATGTAGGCAATGTTGTTGGCGGTGGCTCAGTAGTCAACGGGATGCAGTGGGATAGAGGCTCCGATGCAGACTACGATGCATGGGAGCAGCTAGGAAATCCAGGATGGGGCTATGACGGCCTCGCGAAGTACTTCAAAAAGTCTACTCATTTTGATGGCCCTTCGGAGGCAGTCCGCCAGCACTTCAACATGACCTTCGATGCCAACGCGTACGTGCTCATGTCGATTTCAATTGTACGGTAACTAACCATGAATAGATACGGTGACGGTCCAGTCAAAGTATCCATACCCAACTACCAATACGAAGACTACGTCGACATCATGGGATCGTTCGTATCCAGAACCGACATCCCTCACTCACCCGAAGGTCTCACTAGACCCATCGGAACGTTCTGGACGCCGAATTCCATTGATAATTCCACCAAGCAGCGGAGCCATGCTCGCAGAGCATACTACGACCCAGTTCAAACACGAAGGAACTTGCATCTTATGACCAATACCCACGTGGACGAGATATTGTTCAACAACGGTACTACGCTCGCGGCGAGTGGTGTTAAGTATACGTCGAACGCCGACTCCTCGACCGCATCGGTCTTTGCCAAGAAAGAAGTTATACTTGCAGCCGGAGGCGTCTTCACACCGCATCTGCTCATGCTGTCGGGTATCGGTCCGAAGGATGAACTATCTGCTGCTGGGATTGCCGTGAAGAAAGATCTTCCCGCCGTTGGCTCGAACTTCCAAGATCACCAAGCCTTGTACATGCGCTTCAACCTCTCCAACCAGTCCGTCCCCAATCCCGACATGCTTGTTACAACACCCGATCCAGTCTTCAACGCCACAGCTGCCGAGCTGTACGAAGCTAACCGTACAGGTCCATGGACCTTTGGACGAGGCAATGCCGCACTCTTTCTTGCATTCAAGGACTTCTCGGACAAGTACGCTGACATAACCGCCCTCGTCGCTGAACAAAATGCCACTACTTACCTACCACAACGCTATTCGAAGATCGATACCTTGCTGAAGGGCTTTATGGCACAGCGCAAGATCCTTATGGAGCACTACCTCTCCGATGACGCGGCTACGGGTGAATACCCGATTCAACCCTGGGGTCGGGCAACTACTGCAGTACAGAAACCTCTTTCGCGCGGTATGCTAACCCTCAACACCACGCACCCATCAGCAAATCCGATCGTTGTCCGCAACGCATTCCAAAATCCAGTCGACAAGCTGGTGCTTGGCGAGCTCGTGCGCTGGAACAGAAAGCATTGGACCACTGCGCCCCTGCTGCAGCGCTATGCGCCTGTCGAAACTGTGCCGGGCGCACAATACCAGACCGACGACGAGATCTTTGACGCAAGTATCAAGGCGGCTGCTTTGGATCCGACGTATGCGCATTCGAGCGGCGCATGTGCGCTGATGCCAGAAGAGTTGGGTGGATGTGTCGATCCGCAGTTGAGAGTCTATGGTGTACAAGGGTTGAGGGTGGTGGATGCGTCTATCTTGCCGTTAATACCGGCGGCGCACCTGCAGGCGACGATGTATGCTGTTGCGGAGAAGGCTGCGGACATCATCAAAGAGGTTTGATCAGGACTTTTCTAAGAGAGATTTGGTGCCGCGATTCTTGCCGTTGAACAGGGACGGTGCGACGTGTAGAGATCAATGCAGGTCCGATGGTTTTCGGGGGCAAAGCTGTCGCACGTAAGATCTAGAAAGTAGAATATGAAAGACGAGATGCCCTGACCATGCATGTCAGCGAGTGAATGATCCAACTTCCAAGGTTGTTTTGAACAAGCTTCCTCGCGCCCTAGGCGGCCTTGGTAATAGCCATCCGAGAGGAGTCTTGCGCTAACCGTTCTTGGTGTAGCGCAATGCAAACCTAGAGTGAAAATGTTTCCGACCCTCTGGTTTCCCCCGCACCACCAATCCGCTACGAGCAAAATGACGTGCTCCGTGGCAAGCTGTGCGAA